AGCCTGCTTTTTGCTGTAGATCTTCTCAAATTTGGGTTGCAGTGTCACAACTGTCCATTATATTATGCTCAGTCAAAGCAAGTCCTTTTTTTTTTTTTTTTTTTTTTTTCCTTCATTCATCCATACCGCTTACCGCGCCCCCCCTGCAATGGCATTGCGCCCCCCCTAGGGGGCGCGCCCCACACTTTGGGAACCACTGCTCTAAACCAAGCCATTACTAACCCAATTAATACAGTAGCCCAAAACCTAACCATTAGCAAAATACCTTGTTAGAACTAGCAAAATATCTTCACTTTGCAAGAACTGGTCCTCACTGTGATGGTGAAATTGGAAAAATGGTCCTCACTCTGGTTCCTGTACATGTGAGCACACACACACCCACAAACCCACATATAAACATATACACAGGGCCTTAGAAAAGTATTTGGCCCCCTTTAACTTTTTGACCTTTAGCCACATTTCAGGCTTCAAATATAAAGTTATAAAATTGCTAATTTTTGTGAATAATCAACATGTGTGACACAATCATAAAGTGAAACAAAATGTATTGATATCTTAAACCTTTTTAACGAATAAAAAAGGGGGGCATGCAAAATGAATGAGCCCCTTTTCTTTCAGTGCAGTACACTCTCTACAGCAGTTCAGTGAGGATCTCTGAATGATCAAATGTTGACCTAAATGACTGATAATAATAAATAGAATCCACCTGTATGTAATCAAGTATCTGTATAAATGCACCTGCTCTATGACAGTCTGATGTGTGACATGGTGGCTGCAGTGATTCCCTTGTGAAGCTGCGTTAAGATGACACCCCAATGACGTGAAAAAAAAATCTCAGCAAATAGACTGAATAATTATTGCTTCATGAATGCAGGTTTGTTGCATTTAAAAGAGTCAAAAAGTAAATAATGATCTTGTATGCTACTGTTGTTTCAGACATATTAAAAAATTTTGTTTTTTTAGGTAACCCAGAGGTCAACTATCTCTCCATTACCATCCAAATTGAATCACAATTAGCCTAATTTTCAGTGCAACTTTATTTGAGCAGGTAAAATGGTTGTTTGTACTTATTTGGTTTTTAAAAGAATTATTTTTTAAAAGAATAATTTATTTTATGGCCGATGTCCCCATCCCAGCAAACCTTAATGCTGCACTCCTTTCCTGATATAAAGTTATTGCATAACCTCACATGCCATTCCTGTGCTGGTATTGAATATAACTGTAGACATGTGTAGATTATTTTCTTGGCTGCAATGATTGTTTAATATTTAATAAATCACCAGCCTCCCAGACCCTTCCTATGGACCTGCCGTTACCCCTGGCAACCCCATCTCATTTCCTGTCAAGGTCTTGCTGCTGGCCTTTTACAATAAAACACAGGTGTAACTTTAGAGCATGGACTGCTGCTAAATTGTTTTCTATGAACAACTCCTTATAAATACTGGGCAGTGACAGACTGGGGTATGCGCTGGAGGTAAGGGAAGATAAAGAGCAGTGCTTCTAGGACTAAATCTGCTTTTTTTTTTTTAAAGCCACCTAAAGACCTCATGGGAGCATTTCTTATTTGTACCCTTTTGAACATTATTCATCTCTGTATTCCATTTTAGGTAAAGAAATTTTCACTTAAAACCAATCCCTGATTGGTTGCTATGTTGCGATTTCGTTGAAAAGTTCAGCTTGTTTCATCTTTAACGATCACTGCCCCTCTCTCCATACGGTGCTGCTGTTTAACAACACTGTTCTATCTAGTAGCACGGGGTGAGAGTGGAGCAGTGAACGCCCTATAATAGTGAAATGGAAGGAGTATAAGACCACTGCAAATCTAATAAGACATGGCCATCCCTCTAAAGGTTGAGCTCAAACAAGGAGAAGACTGATCAGAGATACAGCCTAGAAGCCCATGATTACTCTGGATAAACTGCAAAGATCTACAGCTGAGGTGGGAGACTCTGTCCATAGGACAACAGGTTTTGATTACAGGACAAGTTAAAGGAAAAAAGCTATTTCTTTAAGATTTCCATTAAAAAAAATCTTGTTCAAATTTTGCTACAAGTCACCTGGGAGGCTGTAGTGGGAAAAAACATGATCAACTATGGAGTGACAGCGAGAACCAAAAGTGGTATCTGGCATGGTAGTTTTGGAAAATTATAAATGCCAGTTAAGAGGTGGACTAAGCCAGAAAAGGTTTATATATGCCTGTTGGCAACCGGTATATGCCAGTTGAAAAAACGACATATGATGATTGGAAAACAACACATGCCAGTTAGGAACCAGTACATGCCTGTGGGAAAACGGCATATGCCAGTTTCATCAAAGGTCCTACATGGATGCTTAAAGTCCTAATCTGGTTTTATTGACAACATATTTTGGCACTTATGAAAAAGTAATGTTTATGTATGTAGTTGTAAATGTTTATATGTTGAAAAAATATATAAAACAGTCATACAACCGAATCTTGTTTGGTTTGCTTTGACAATGTCACTAAATGTTCCATAAATGGCGGTTTATTGTCAATATTACTGTATGAAGTGGATCACGAATGATCTGCTAAGCATTAACCTAAATGTAAAATTCTTGTACATTTGAAAACCTATCGTTGTTTTAAGTTTATTTTTAGTTTATTTGGTTTTGCAGTTGTTTTCTAGCAGTGTTTTCTTCTTGAGTTACTCTCTGTTGCCCACTTGTGTTGGTTTCCTTTCCCCTTGGCTTCCTTCTAGATGCTTCCATCCACACCTGTTCCTTGTCAGCTCATTAATCCAGTTTTTGTTCTGTCTCCTATATATACTCCACCTGTGCAGTTTCTCAGTGCTGGTTCCTCATGTTTTCCTGGCTCCTCATGTATGTTTTCCTTATTGTTCTCTCCTAGATTCTGTTTTTTTCTGTATTTGTTATTTATTAAATGTAAAAGTTCACCGAACAGAAGTGGTATCCTGGTAAAACAAGAACCTGATTCTATATTTCACACATTCAATTTACATTTAATTCAAAAACAATTTATATAAAAAAAATAACTCATATAAAAATAAAATCACTTATCCTTTTTGTTGTAATTTTTCCTTAAGACATTGAACTACATCACTTAGCCTACTTCAAATTGTCAAGTCTAAATAAAGAGGCTGTGATCTGTCCTACAACTACAAAGGAGTAGGTAGAGAATTGTTTTTTTTNGACATTGAACTACATCACTTAGCCTACTTCAAATTGTCAAGTCTAAATAAAGAGGCTGTGATCTGTCTTACAACTACAAAGGAGTAGGTAGAGAATTGTTTTTTTTCCTTCTTTTTCTTAATGCGAGAATAAAGTAGCAACATTATTGAAATAAAGTCATAACATTACTAGAATAAAGTCATAAAAGAGAAGATTGTCCATATGCATACTTTAAAATACAAGATAACCTGTGATTCATTTTGATGTAGTCAGCTCAGAGATATGAAAACCCAATTCAAATGGCTCCTCAAAAACCATAAAGAAACACATAAACACAGCTTTCATAGATTCATTTAATCCTAGTATGTTTCATTGTCAAAAATACAAGACATAGGTATAGATTTTTTCCTTTATGACAGTGAAAATTGATTGCAGTTAGTGAAACTGCATTTGAAGATCACATTTCTGGAGGGAGCATCTATCATGTGTGGTCCTGAGCTCACAGCGTAGGACCTTCACAAGGTAAGGTAGCAGTGAGTATTGGCATGGGTGTTGGGATTCGACATGTCATGATGCTTGGGTAACGATACTCTATCACGATATTGCAATATCACTATATATTGCACTATTTTTTTCCAGCTAACAAATTTAATATATAGATAAAAAGCAAGCGCTGTTCCTCAGAAAATATTGATCATTTAGTTATTTTGGTATCGATGTCTTCCACTGTGACGGACT